TAGCCTTAAAGGTGTATTGCACACATGTTGCTAACTTTAATGCAAATGTAACAGAACTGACAGAAACATGGGGACAATTGTAAATTTATTTGTATTATATTTTTGTAGTATTTATTTGCAGAATGTATTTACAATTCCATGCTTTTAATCAGTTTATGTGAATTATAACAACCTAAACTTGTTGTTTTTGAAGTTTTTCTTTCCCTAAATAACAGTTTTTAGCATAACAAAACTATTAAATCTGTAGGTTCAGTTAGGCTGAGACCAATGACAGGGTTTGTACATTTATAAAGAGAACAAAAATCTGACAATCAAATGAATGTCATATTCCTTTAACATTTCACAGAAATCAACCAGTGCATTTTAGACATTTTTTAGATGAAATACTTTTTATTTACTGTATTCATATTTTTGTTTCAGGCACTGATAATGTATGTTCTTGGTAGAATGTCCCATATAGGTTAAGTTAGTGAGCACTGAGTAAAAAAATAATCGCCAAAGTTACCTGGAAACGGAGGAATGCGTGTTAAATTCGAGCCAGAAATCTTTTTGAGGTTATCAAATACTTTTTTGGTTTCATCAACCCCTATAAAAATAAACCCAATACATGTCAAAACAGCAACATCGAGTGAAGCAAAACGTTATTCAAGCAATTCTGACAAAAATAACAATAGCGTATCTTACCGTTGAAGGAGCTGTCTTTCTTCGCCTCTAGGTTGATTATCACAGCTAACACGTATCTATCCATAGCGCTCTGCTGCTAAATTCATGTAAGATAATATTGAGTTTTTAAAACAACACAGACTGCTGTACAAAACAAACTAACCCGCGTATACGACCAATACGGACGTTCAAATATGACGCGTGATGGCGTGCGCGCAACCAAAATATACAGTCGGTAGGAACCGACCAAGATAAGCTAATAAATAACAATACCCAACGATGGACGTGAATTAAATTATTCATTCTACAGCTATATGTTTGTTGTTGTACAAAATGCATAAATGTATTCATACATTTCAAAAATCAGACTTTAAAACTTTTAAAGAGGAACCATTTTTTACTCTTTGGGTTCGGGGAAGTAAATTGTTGCTGGACCATTATAGCCACATTGAGGTCAAATTTTTCAAATGCTAAAAGAAAATGTCTAGTTTTTCAAGATCAGCCCAGGTAATGTACTTTATTTACTGACATGCTATTTATATAGGTACTACGATGTCGGTCAGTGCTTATATGCGTATTATGTATACGCGCTTGTGTTTCTGTTTAGCGTGTGCTAAACAAACTAATTGGTCAAAATATGATGTATGTTTATGACGTCTGCTTTTATGTGCATGACTATTAGAGTAGATTCGTAAATAAAATATCTGTGTCGTTGCTTAAATGCTGAGATTATTGAATAAGCAACAGACAATGAGGTAAAATAGAAAAGGTAATGTTAATGTATAGTTGACAGGTTAAAGCAACAATACTTACAAAATGTAATAATGCTACATTTGTGATTCTGATTTTTATTTGTTGTTGTTGTTTCCAACGGAAAATGTGTATTGAGGTAAAAATATGATTTTATATTCGCACATTCGTTGAGTGACAACCGTGACAACCGCTCCGTATATTGTTTACCAGGGTATGAATTGGAAACTTTTGAAAAAAAAATCTCCGATTTAGGGCTGCACAATATTGGGGAAAAAAAAGTAAATTGCGATATGTTTGTCTCTGCGATATATACACTGCCGGACAAAAGTTTGGGGTGAGTATAATTTTTAAATGTTTTAATATAAGCTGCATTTATTTAATCAAAAATACAGTACAAATTGTAAAATTGTGAATGTTATTGCACTATAAAATAACTGTTCAAAAGTAGTTTATAATGTAATTTATTAATGTATTTCAGTGATTTTAATGATGATTTTTTTTATCTTCATTACCCCAGTCTTCAGAGTCACATTATACTTCAGAAATCACTCTAATATTATTATATTATAATTATCATTAATATTAGTAGTAGTAGTAGTAGTAGTAGTAGTAGTAGTAGTATTAATGGTAATAGTGATTAAAAGCAATAATGACTGGAGTAATAATTTCATTTGAAACCACATGCATTTATTCATTCATTTTCTTTTTCCGGCTTAGTACCTTTATTAATCTAGTTGCACCACAGCGGAATGAACCTCCAACATAATCAGCATGTTTTACGCAGCAGATGGCCTTCCAGCCACAACCCATCACTGGGAAACACTCATACACTCTCATTCACACATATACACTACGGACAATTTTAGCTTACCCAATTCACCTTAACTGCATGTCTTTGGACTGTGGGGGAAACTGGAGCACCAGGAGGAAACCTATGCAAACACGGGGAGAACATGCAAACTCTACACAGAAACACCAACTGTCGCTGGTTCGAGACTCGAACCAGCGACCTTCTTGCTGTTAGGCGACTGCACTACTTGCTGCACCACCACGTCGCCCCAATTTGATATTAATTATTATTATTATTATTGTAATAGTAATAAAAGCAGTAATGACTGGACTAATAATTTAGTTTAAAACTACATACAATAAGTAATAAATAAATATTTAAGTATTTAACATTTGTGTTATATATAATAAATGCCACCTTGATGAACAAAATAATTTTATTTAAATTATTAAATTAAATTAATAATAATAAAAAAAAACTGACCCCAAACTTTTGACCAGTAGTGTATATATTGCGAAGTTAGTACAATTTCATCAGATGACTTGAATAGCTCTATTTGCAAAGTAATTACTTTAGATTGATTTGGATGATTTTGTAATGGAGTGAAATACAAACATCTACAGTCATAAATAAACACAGTGAAGCAAATATTAAAGTGAAATAAACTGTTTTATAGCTTTCTGAAGAGTGTCTAGCAGTATTCAGATACATAAATTGAATAATCAAATGTAAAATTACACATCATAGTCTTCATCATACAAGTAATTAAAAAATAATAAAAAATAAAAAAATAAGTCTTGATGCACTAATAAAATTTCTTAAACTCTCTTAAAATGCTCACATAGTGATAGGCCTTAAAAATGCATGCATATGATAAACTTTCACCTCATTATGGTTCAATTATCGAGTATCTCCACAAATTTCATGTGTTTTGACCTGTGGTTTCTAGTGATCTATAATCCCAACTTAACATTGCATATCTTGTGATTTGATTATTGCGGACTCACATTGTGATATCTATGCTCAAACGTTATAGTTTGCAGCCCTACTTTAAATATTCAGTCTGGAATCACATGTAAATATGACTACATTAGCACTATTTATTTTACTGTGAACTAGGCTATTTTGGTAGTCATTGGCTGCTAAATTGATTTCACTATTTAGAATTTGCAAAAAAGTATTTTCTGTAATTGTGTTATTAAAAAGAATGTGCGAATGTGTGAATAAGAAACCTTTTCGCAAAAAAATATGTTATTACCCCCCCCCCCCCCCCCCCCACCACCACCTCATAGTAACACATTTAAAAAAAAATGTTAAATATAATTTAAATATAAAATCCAAAAAGTTAAAAACAAACGTTTTCTATTAGCATCATCATTTGATGTTGCCGTCTCTTTGCTGTATGGTTGTTATGGAAAAAAAAAATAGCATGCTCACAACATCCAATCAGATAAGATGAAACTGAAAAGCAATATAGTGCTTATGACATGATCACAGAGAAAGTAGCATTTGAATGCTTAAAAACCCAAACTGTTTTTTGATTCTAAGACTGTATTTGCAGGCAATTGACAAATAGTCGCAGACAAATTAAACTTGGGCCAGTTATGATCCTGTCTACTGTCAGATCCTGTCTACTGTCAAAATCTACTGTTCTCATTGCATCTTTATAATGTAAACAAAGTGGGACTGAACTGTCATTACACTGGAGATAAAATGCACTACAAATTGACAACAAATTTAACTTTAATTGCACTATTACTGTTGGTTATTATAAACTAACTGTATTCATTCTTTGCAATGTCAGCTTGTATTTCATTAATTTTATTGTCTTTTTCCTGCAAGCAATGGGCAACCTTTGCCAGATCGTGGTTTCTGATTGATGCTCGGATGCAGCCTCCAGGAAAGATCGCCTCTATGTGTGCAGTGCGGCTTCAGGGCAAACATAAACCCATTTACCATCCACTGAGTAAGTAAATATGAAAGACAAGTGACTTTGCTCTACACCAGAGAAGGGATGTGCAATCCCTTTTAAACCTTTTAAAATTTGATAATATATATAAATATAGTTATTTTAAATATTTATAACCACTTATTTATTAGTTTGCTATTTGTAATTATTATAATTAGTAGTAATTGTAATTTAGTTATCTTTATTACTTTACTAGTTATGTGTACTTAATTATATATTGATAACACTTCACAAAACTACATTAGTTTATATGAGCTAATACAAGATTTATTAGCATTTTGTATTAACTTTTCATAAACAATAGATCCTAATTTTTATTTATTTATTTATTTTACAAGTATTTATTTGTTAACATTTAATGCACTAGGAGTAGGCAGAGAACAATCCTTTTTTAGTTATTTTGTAACTATATTCCCTATTGTTGATTCTGGTTAAATCAATTAATGTTAATAAGTGAGAAATTATAGCGTCACAGTGGCGCAGTAGGTCGCACGATCACCTCACAGCAAGAATTCAGTTGGCAATGGCATTTCTGTGTGGAGTTTGCATGTTCTCCGGTTTCCCTCATAGTCCAAGACATGCTATAGGTGAATTGAATAAGCTAAATTGGCCGTTGTGCATGTATGTGAAAAAGTATGTATGGGTGTTTCCCAGTGTTGGGTTGCAGCTGAAAGGGGATCTGCTGCGCAAAACATATGCTGGATAAGTTGGCGGTTCATCCTGCTGTGGTGAGCCCTGAATAATAAAGGGACTAAGCCGAAAAGAAAATTAATAAATAAATGAAATAATAAATGAATGAATGAATGAAAATGAATAATTATTAAAATTATTTAGTTTTTATTATAAAAATAATGGCTTCTTAATTTTTCTTTTATATTTTTCCAGACCAACCATTACTTTCTTTGTATTTTTAAGACAATAGATAAATATGTAAAAGACATTGCAAGACATGGTAACGTTTGTGGATAGCCTATACAGAAATAAAAGTAAACGACTAAATAAGACTTCCTAATAGCAGCATTTAGTGCCATTCAATATGAATTATCTTGCCATTTTAATCAAGTTTTACATTGTTAAGTTAATTGCTAATATATTAAGCTGTAGGCTGAGTTCACCTATGACTAATTTTTCCTCCTGCTATTGAGAACATTGGGTCTCGCTGCTCATAATCATGTCAAACTAGGCCAGCTAAATATGCCTGAAGAGTTATGAGACAAAAAAATTAACCAAACTTGCTAAAAACATGAAAAAGTGACACAGAAACCTGATTATATTATTTACACTATAATAGGTGCATAGCTGTACTGCAGCATCAAAATCCACATACATACATCCCAGGTAAAAACATGGCAGCCCCGATTCACTGATATCTGTTAGTGTGAAGTAGCCGACTGGCCACAAGATGGAAGTAAATGATCACAGTCTAGAATTGCTCCATGCAGCTAGTGCTTGTAGAGTCCAGCGTGTTTACCAGTCTAAGACAAAAAGCGTGTTCTAGCCTTTATTTTTAGATGCCACTTTCCCATTACCATAATGTTTCTGTATCATTTAAATGTAATATTGCACATTATCATTTGCAGTATATTTTGTGTTTTGGTTAAAGATGTTATGTATATTTTGGCATCACTTTAAATAATTAATAAATATATAAATAAATAAATATAATGCAATAGTAAATTGTATATACATAGATGGCAAGCGTTTTAAATGTAAGTGCCCTTTTTTTTGTTTCAAATAACTCAAATAAACTCAAATAAAATATGAAAATATGAGTAACAAACATTTATGTAAAATAAAGCAACTTTTGATTTTGACTTGTACTCATTAAAATAAATGAAAGTAGAATGTTGTTTTAAAGAATAGGACAAAGTATAATATATATAAAAATATCTTTACTGTCATCTAAATATATTTACTGTCATCATGGCAAAGATTAAATAAATCAGTTATTAGAAATGAGTTATTAAAACTGTTATGTTTAGAAATGTGCTGAAAAAAAATCTGCTCTCCAATAAACAGAAATTGGGGCGAAAAAAAAACAAAAAACTGGGGGTTAATAATACAGGGGGGGCTAATAATTCTGACTTCAACTCAATGTCCAGTCATTGTGTAATCGCAGTATAGCTCCAATTCATCAGCTTTAATACAGTAGCAGAAACATAAGGTTAATATTAAGCAGTTTTTTTATAATAATAATAATAATAATAATAATAATAATATTTAAAAACAAAAATACAATATGGACAATGTACAATACAAAGACCTTCTTACAGAACAGACAATAACAATCAATTCTTAACAATAAACTAAATAAAACAATAATTACATACAATGCAGACATGCATCCTGCTAAATATTGTTGTTTATTTAGAAAAACTGGCACAGCACACCTGTGTATATTCTACTACAAACTGTTCTCACAAATTGCCATCTTACAATATAAATAAATATATGAACAAATAACTCTGCTTGCTGTAGTTTACATAGGACTGTCGGGAAATATGAATTGATACAGCTTTATTATATATGGTATCTGGTTTATTTTGATAGGTTAGCTGTTTTTGTGCTTTTTAGCATTCCTCAGCCCGTTCAGAGAGAGAAATCACATCACATACGCTTCTTCCACTCACCCCTTTTAGGTGGAGGTCAAATATGCTTTCCCAGCATCCCTCAAAACCTTCCTTACTCTGTCCTTCCATTTGTTCATGTCAGCTTTTACTTTTTTTTTTTTTTGCTGAGGATTTTCCTTTTAATGTCCGAAGAGGACATGACAGAATGCAGCATCTCCGTTTTTCTTATGCCTAGTTCAGACTGCGTGATTTTAGCCCCGATTTTGGCTCGCCGACAGGTTTTGAGAAATCGCCGACAAATGCCTGAAATCACAGGCAAATCGCTGCGTGACAATCACACAGGATGAACTATCAAAGACGCGATCTGAGAGAATCCCCGACGAGTCCCTGATGCCTGCGAGATATTTGGCGTGCTAAATATCTGGAGCTGTCGGCAATTCAAATCATGCCGTGTGAATTGAGTTTTGACTGAAAATAACATCGGCGATCGCCTACAGCCAATGAGAGAGCGGCATTCACTTATGTGTGCGTGTGTGTATACCTGCTGCAGGCCAGCGGGAGGCTGGGGGAGAAGTTAAAAGCGCTCATTTTCGGTTTATTTGGACCCACGAAATGGAGGAAAAACTAGTGGAGGTTTGACAGGACTCAGGAGCAACCATGTCTGTTTGACGTTTCATACAGAAAGAAATTAGTTTATTATCAACGTTGAGGAGAAATGGCTAATTCCCTTTAAACCCAGGTGAGCAAATATGTACATTTTCTACCCAATTAAAGGCTTCTTTCTCGTTATGTAGTTAATAACAAAAGATATACTACGTGTTTTTTCTGTGAGATGTAGTTTGGACGAACTTGTCAGCGATTCTTCCTATAGTAAAGTCATGCAATGTGAAAGTCCCTGTCGCCGATCCATCTTGCAGTGTAACAAAGCAGCGACGAAACGCTAGCCCAGATAGTCAAGCAGTGTGAAGACATCTGTGACACGACTACTTTGAAAATCATGCAGTCTGAACTCAGCATTAGTGGACATAAACGTTTTTTTTCCATGAGAAGCTATTTTACTGTTTAAAATGCAGACTCTTGGTCATGCGAAAATATCCCTAAACTGTTTTTGTATACAAAGTTTACACACACAATTAATGTCACATGGTTATCTCATTTTTACTTTTATTTTTTTTGGACTTATACAATTGTTCATCACACACACTTATTTTTTGCTCATATAAAAAATACATTTTCTCCTTACCTGTTTATTTTAAGAATTTCTGTCTTCTGACCCAGACTGTGATAAATTTGCTGATCTTTATGATTCTAAATGTACCTTCAGATCAACTGTAAAGGGATCATTATTACTTAATTTTTAATTCAGAGAGTAAACAGGGTTTAACTTACTCACCAGTGCAATGATCAGGATTTCTTCTGTTGAGTTTATGACAGGAATGATATAACTATTCCCTTGATCTGAATGTGGAAAGCTCCTGTAATTCCAGAGAGCTGTAAGGTGTCGTGAGTAGTGATTGGGACAGGCTGTGGAATTGATACATTGCTCTGGATCTGATGCATTCGCCTGCAGCTCCTCTGACCGGATGACAGGGCTTCCTTCCTCAGACATGCTGGGAGTTTTTAATGAAAGTCTTGCTCTCTGATAGATGAATGAGCATAACTGGCCAAGAGATGAAAATTCCAGCCTGTGCCGATATTCTGCCAGGCTGTCGAGCCAGAAGAAGGAGAGGCCCTTCTTTCATATGCTTTCATTTTTTTTTTTTACACTGGACTACTTTTAGATGTTCAGTTATACCTGTGTGCAAATGTAAAATAATAATAAATAATTAATCTTACCCCTGTTTTTACATCTCATTCTAAACATGGATAAGCAGAGAAATAGAATAAAATAATGGATCAAATGAATTTGTTTCAATATATTATAAAGAATAAAACTATTATAAATGAAATGAGATTTATTATGTATTTATTACATTTTTATTATTGGCTACAGAGCAAAACACTGTTGTAAAGTGACTTTCCTAATTACAAAACTAACATAACCTAATTAAGCCAAATTTGCTCTTTAAGCTGAATAGTATCTTGTTTTATAATTAGCAAAATATTATGTACTTTCAACACAGGAAAGACAAAATAAATTATTTATAAAAAAAAAAAATTGTGTTAATTCTGTTATGTGTTAAAAAAAAAACATGTTGAAAGACAGTAAATATTAAAATCATAAATTTCACAACAGGGCTAATATTTTTGTCTTCAATAATAATAATAATAATAATAATTATTATTATTATTATTATTGTTGTTGTTGTTGTTATTATTATTATTACATGTATTTATTTATTCATCGTTTAGTATTTGTTGTCTAATAATTATTAATGCTGCATATATTAGTAGTATAAATTGTGAATGTTGAAGAACTGGTACTTTTTGAGACCATTAAGTACTACTATTGTAAAATGCAATTTCCCCTCAGCAGGAACTTATGTCCAGAGTTCAAGCTGAATGTGCAGATTTATTATGTGCATATGTCTTATTCCCAGGTGATATTGGAGATCATGTGGTGGTTATGAACACCAAACACATCGCCTTCTCTGGAAATAAATGGGAGCAGAAAGTGTATTCGTCTCACACTGGGTAAATAGAACTCTCTTTCTCACTCTCCTTTTACACTCTCACTTTACAGAGGACAGAGAACATGCCTTTTATAATCTTTCATTTATGTCCTGCTCTCGGCTGTTCTTCTCTTATGCTGACAAAGAGGAAAGAAAAGGAAATTTGAGACTTGAACCACACGCTTTACAATGTGCATGTAATAGAAACAACATGCTGCTTTGTATGCGAAATGTTTCGAATGTTAAATTCTAAAACTAATACATTTTTCTATCCCACAGCCACCCTGGATCATTCAAACAAGTCACCGCAGCCCAATTACACAGAAAGGATTCAACAGCTGTGAGTGTCCTTGTCTAAATTTGCCTTGTAAACTGGACATTTCTCTGTGACAAATTCAATTTTGCAGTGATTTCCACAATAACAGCATCTCCGTGTCACTCACAAACCTGCCACTGCTGCAAACCTGTTCATAATTTGAGTCAAATTGCCTGCACCTTGGAGGGAGGTGAAATTTGACTTCATTTATTAATTTATGTAAATGATGCCCAAATGTTTTTATTTTAATAATTTCAGATAGCGGCAGTTGCGGCACAAAATATGCTCTCGCAATCAGCGTGAAACACATTTGAATAATAAATGCAACGCAGGCCCCGTATTGCTCAGTGCTCCATCATTCATTCAGTGCTTATCTTTCCTGCTATTTTCCCTGTCTCTCTTTCACTCCGCTAAGAAACTGTTTTCCCTCTTAACGTCACAGATTTTAAAGTGCTTTTTCAAGGCTCAAACACTTCAATGTTATTAAAACAACAGTCTTTGCAGGCCTGTCTGTTTCCAATATACACCTCTACAAGTGTCACCTGCCGCTGACACACATAGATGAAAAACCCCCTGTCTCTGTCTCAGCCTGCACTGTGAATCACACCCTTGTGTTTTTGGAAGAATAACAAATACCTGGCGGCTTTAGGTCTTTTCATTATATTATTGATTTGGATGAGGATGAAATTCAAAGAATATGTTAACAAATACATATTCTTAATATGTGTATTGTTAAACACGCTAAAATATTTTAACAACTTGATAATTTATGCTAGTTATGTGCTAGCAACATGCTATTTCATGCTAGCAGAGTGTTAATTCACGTTAGCAAAATGCCAAACATGCTGGCAACATTGTAATTCTAAAATCTGTGATAATTTATGTTTAAGCACTATATAAACATTCTAATTACATGTTCATAGATGCTAGCAACATGGTAAACATGTTAGAAACATGTTAACAGTGCCAAATTATGTTAGCAGAGTGTTAAAACACTAGAAATGAGTGAGTTTATGTTAGCAATATGTTAATTCAAAATAGTCATCTATTAAACATTAGAAACACGTTAATTTATATTAGCAATGTGTCAGACATGCTTGCAACACTCTAATGCATGTTACTCATCATAGCGTGAAAGCAGTGTGGTAAAATGTGTGATAATGTATGTTTAAGCTGTGTTTTAACATTCCAATCACGTTCATACATGTTAGCAACATTATAAACATGTTAGAAGTGTGCCAAGTTATGTTAGTGTTGTCTTAAGACATACTAGCAACATGTTAATTCATGTTAGCAATGTGTTGATTCATATTAGGATGTTAATTCATTAGCATGGTAATTGATGCAGAAAACATGTTAGCAAAACACCATTGCTAAGCTTAGTAACAGCTATGATGTTTGTAGCATGTTAACATTATAAAACTTACTAGCATTGCATCATTCTAGTAATATACCAGATGTATACCGGATGTACCAGATGTACTTTGTGGTAGTAACCTGTTATTAATCTTAAAGGGGTGGTCCTCTACAATATCATATATTAAACTTTTGTTGATGTGTAATGTAGATGTGTGGACATAAACAACATCTCTAAATGCAAGGCCCTCAGAGTTAAATGCAAAAGGACACATTGGCTTTTACAGAGTAAGTTTAGTAAGGCCTACAGTGAACGGATTTTGAGGACTACAAAAAAATACATCAGGGCTAGTGAGATCACAAACACTTTAGGTTACTGTTTGTGTATCTGGGCTTCCAAAGGACATGACACAAAGAGGGAAGTTCTTACAATTAATTTTATTTATGTTCCAGAGTTTTATAATAAAGACATAGCTCTAGCATTTGACAAAGGACAGTTTCCAGAATCTCTTCCAGTTCAGTGCTGGATTCGGCTAAAAACTCCTTGAAGAAGGAACAGTTCCAAGCATAATAGATGGAGCTGTGGATTTTGAGCCATAACCTGTAAGTGTTTTTATTTGTTAAAATTGACTTCTTACATGAATAGTTTCTAGCATTAACGGTATGTTGTAGCAAGTACATTAACAAGAATATAATCCACAGGAAAGGTTGTTTGGCACTGTTAACAAGTTACTTAAAAGTTCATATTTGTCCATCAAACCCCTGTAAACACCCACAATCTTCCCCAGTGCTGCAGTGTCTCTCTATGCGGCTGCTTTCCTGCAATCTACATCTCAATTAATGAACTACTTACACATGCTTATTCTGAATATATGTGAAAAACACTTGTCTTGTTTTATTTTAGAGACCAGGCATGAGGTTCAAAGGCTGTGTCCTTTTCATTTTCTGTGGCTCAAACTGATACGGCTAACAGCTACTCTGACTGACAGTATTTACACAGTCGAGGCAAAGAGTGTGCTAGTAAAGGCGTGGCATTTTCCTGGTGATGTGGAGTCGATCCATGAATCACAGCATATTATGCTGACCAATTAGAGCCTCTTGACACAATCTTATAAACACCACCAAACCTTAAAAATGCACTCTGGACCACCCCATTAAACATTATCAAAATATCATAATATGGTAGCAATATCATAGTCAATCTGTTAAAAAACATGTTAATATTGTGTTTAGCAATGTGCTAAAACATCTTAATGATGTACTAAGTCATCCTAGCTACATGTTAAAACATGCATCTTAACAAGTTATTTATTTATGTATTTATTTATTTATTTATTTATTTATTTATTTTCAGCTATTTTTAACCTTAGGTCTTCATATACAATTGCCAAAATCCACAGCAATTTCTTAGCAAGAGATTATTTCTGCTTTTGTTTATTTTATATAATATTTTATATAGTATTTTATATAATACATTCATATTTTAAAAACTTTTTACATCTGTATTTTATGTTTTTGTAATTTTGTTTTTGTAAAATGAAGACGTTATTTTATTATAACATATATTATTATATTTTATTATTTAAAATACTTATATTTTAGTTATTAAAATATTATTAATAATAATTTGTTCATCCACTTTTTCTTTGTCTAGATTCCTCAGTGCATTAAGAAAGGTTAACAGAAAAACAGGAGTAATCAAAAATTTAATTTAACAGTCTAAAATCAGTAAATATCATTAAAATATTGTTTGTTGTCAATTTGCGTAAACTACTAAAATTAAATAACTATAACAAATGATACTTTAATTGTAAAGTGCTGTCTGTGTTCAACTGCATTTAAAAAGCGAGACACAGTTAGAAAGCGAAAATTTATCCCATCTGCCTGTGCTGTTGTTCACCTTCTTAAAGTAACCTTGACTTTTCACAGTGACAGTCAGAGCTCATCCATAGTCCAGGCACGCAAACTGTGACCCTGAATGCTTTTCTTCAGTGGGCTGCGACTAATAACGCAACTGTAGAAGTGTAGTTTGTGTATAGGTGCTGTTTTCACAGACCCTGAAAAAGCCGCCCTCCACTCGCTCTCTGTCATCCACATGATGAATGCTGGACTCGGGCTGAGTTATGCCACTCCAGAGGAAATATATCAGGGATAATTGTGGATAATGACCAGAGGATGGTGACAGAGTTGTGAAGAGCGATGGTGCACTCAGACAGCTTTCATCCATCACACATTTAGCAGTCAGAAAAATAATAAAATCTCTGATTAACATCCTGATGGTTGGATGATGAGTTTAAAATGTTTACTTGTGTATTCAATTTGGTGTATAGGCATAAGTATTTATTTATTTATCTATTTATTTACTTTTATTTTGTTGCATTGACCACAAACCTTTACTAAATTGGAAATTCTGATTGGACCCCTGATTGGATTTAAAAAAAAAAATATTAAGTAGAAGTAACAAACATGTTATGCATCCTTTCATGTTAAAAAAAAAAACATATGCTGTAAATATTTGTAGGGTTTATATAGTAAATTTATGAGGTTTATATTATCAATTCAGTAAATTTGTTTACAAAACCCATCTATAGTATTCATATTTGTGTACATATACAAACACACGGTTATGTTTATTATGCTCAAGGCTGATTTTATGTGATCAACAGAACCGAAATAGCATTAAAAAAGTATAGCATATTGTAAATTATAGTATGTTCCAAAATATTACTGTTTCTCCTTATTTTTCATCAAGTGAATGCAACATTATGCTTCATTCTCACTAGCAGTGACTTTGTAGTTGCCTGTCACTGGCGACCTGCTGCAAACAGGTCTGTGTAGGTCTATAGCAGATATTTATATTAGATGTGGCCCATGCTGTTGTTTTCTTGGAAGGAATGCGTCAATAGAGCTGACATTATTGTACAGGGTAGTGCTCCTTTTAAATGAATGTGGAACCAAGAAGCCATAGATATATGCAAGTATATACATATCTATGATCGTGAGTTTTCCCAGTGGAGAGTATGCAAATATATATTTTTTTTAATTATGAAAATTATAATTTTACATCACTTTTCTATCTCGATGGATAAGTGACGATAAAGGCATTGCCAACAAAGAGCATGTGTTTGTGTGCATGGAAATGTATTATCCTCACTATCTGTTAAATTTGATCTAATGTGATCACTGTTATGTTATCAGGCACCATTACAAGTTACTTCAGAAACTAATATTCATGAACTAAGCCAACAATAATACAGATTTCTAGCACTGCAGCATCTTGTCATATTTCATTTACATTTTTTGCTGATTTTATTCAACAAAACTTGCATAAGCCTAGTATTTAGCACAAGTTGGTGACTGGATTATTATCAGTAACGTTACTTGTTTTGCACATAAGTTTGTAACATACAAAAACGTAAAAAATTAAATCTAACATATGAAATGTTATGCCTTTTTGGTTTGCGCTTACACAGGCATAAAGTCCAGCATCTCTAGATTGGCTTTAGGGCCTACTCACACTATGCCATCCGTACCGTGCCCAGGCCCGTTTCCCGGATCGTTTGAGAAGTGTGAGTGCGCTGAATCGGGCTCAGGCATGGTTCACTTGGCTGGCCCTGGCCCGGTTGGAAGAGGTGTGCCTGAGCGCAGTTCACTTGGGCGCGTTACGCTTGTGTGTGTGTGTGTGTGTGTGTGCGCAAAACGCGCCAAAGTCCGAAACTGAAAGCGAGACGTGACTTTTAAGGGGCTGTTTCATATGTATTTATTAATCATTCTTACTGTTCAGTGAACGCCATAGTTTATTAAAGACGAGAACTCCTCACAGCACGACAGCTGCGCACCTTCAGCAGACCTCTTCATTCCTGCAGCACGAGAGCATTATGATTGTTTATGAGCGCCAAAAGTGACTGATCTGTTCTGCGAAATATCTGACTGCGTGTCACCGCATTTCTAAGGACTGTTTGGCGAAATATTTGACTGCATGTCACTGCATAGCAAACGACTTGAACGATATAACTAGAGAAATCTCCACTGTGCTGCAGAGTGAGAGAGCGCTTCTCACTGAACAGCGCAGCAGCGATGACGTAAGCGTGCCGAGGCCCATTTGTGGTGTGAGTGCGGGCCGTCGGGGGAGACAGGAGGGGGACAAGCGTGCTTTGGCCCAGTTCGAGGCAACTGTACCTTAGTGTGAGTACGGCCTTAGTCTTGGCTAGTACCATTGAATGACTTTTGTCCTGGGAGCACTGTACAAATGTGGCGGCGCTATTGACGCATGCTCAGGGTCCGTATGCAATATCTAGTGTATATCTATGGACGCTTTGCTGCTGCGTGTTGCTTGTAGTGTGAATGTGGCTTTAATGAGCAAGAAACTTTTTTGTGAAAGATTAAAACGTGTAATTATATGTTGTACACAAGACAAATTGTAGAAACTATTATTTCTTAAAAAAATGTATATTACTTTGCATATACATTTTTTATGTGTGTGTGCATATGACAAACAAACAAGCAGTTAATATAGCAATATAATTTCTATATAATGGAATTACATGTGGCGACGCAGTGGCGCAGTAGGTAGTGCCTTCGTTCTGCCCCACAGCAAGAAGGTTGCTGGTTCGAGCCTTGGCTGGGTCAGTTGGCATTTCTGTGTGGAGTTTGCATGTTCTCCCTGCGTTCGCATGGGTTTCCTCCGGATGCTCCAGTTTCCCCCACAGTCCAAAGAGGTAGAGGTGAATTGGGTAGGCTAAATTGTCCTGGGTTGCGGCTGGAAGGGCATCCACTGTGTAAAAATATAGAATATTTGGCGGTTTACTCCGCTGTGTTGACTTCTGAAATAGAGACTAAGCCGAAGGGGAAATGAATGAATGAATTACATGTTTATACATATGAATATATACATATAAAACATTTGTTGTTTATTTTGTTTAATGGAATTGTTTTTATTTATATCAATCTCCATGTTTCCTTTAGAGAGAGAGAAATGAACTTTAACCATGAGCAAATCTTTAGCCTGCTTTTTTATTGTTGTTCCACAGATCATTAAACTAGCTGTTTACGGGATGCTTCCCAGAAACCTCACCAGAAGGACCATGATGCAACGGCTTCACCTCTTCCCAGATGATGTAAGCTCTCAGTTGATGCTCTGATTTATGCTTACTGATGCTCTGTCCAAAGCTTGACATGTTTGGAGAGGAGAAAGATGTCAGTGTGTTTGATGAATGTTTCAGTGGAGGATGCATGTGTCCCATTAACAAGCTACATAATACACTACTACATGATTTCTGCTGCTGCATGAAGAGAAAAATTATACCCTACTGGGCAATTACATCATCATTAATCCACATTAATACTTTTTTAAAGATAAATTTTGAAATAAAAATAATAACATGTCTGTCCATAGATTTGTTCAGTTTCTCTGTTATTAGTTCAGTATATTATTTGTTTTGTTTATCATCTTTTCTACTTATTAATTCTATCCATCGTTAGTTCTATTTATAATTTTCTGTCTGTCTCTCTGTCTGTCCGTCAATCTTTCTACGATTAATTTTATCATTTCATTATATCTATCCATCCATCCATCCATATTGTTAATTGTATAATTTCATTAGGTCTCTATCTGTTGTTAATTGTATAATTTAATTATATCTTTTTATCTATTGTCAATTCTATAATTTCACTATATATATATATATATATATATATATATATATATATATATATATATATATATATATACACACATGCACACACACACACACAGTTGAAGTCAGAATTATTACCCCCCCACCCCCCCCTTAATTTTTAAACATTTTATATATATATTTCCCAAATGATGTTTAACAGAGCAAGGACATTTTCACAGCATGTCTGATAATATTTTTTCTTCTGGAAAAAGTCTTAGTTGTTTTATTTCGGCTAGAATAAAAGCAGTTTTTAATTTCTTAAACACATTTTTAAGGAAAAAATTATTAGCCCCTTTAAACTATATATTTTTTCGATTGGTCTACAGAGCAAACCGTTGCTATACAATAACTTGCCTAATTACCCTAACCTGCCTAGTTAACCTAATTAACCTATTTAAGCCTTTAAATGTCACTTCAAGCTATATAAAAGTGTCTTGAAAATATCTAGTGAAATATTATTTACTTTCATCATGGCAAAGACAAAAAAAATCAGTTATTAGAAATGAGTTAATAAAACTATCATGTTTATAAATGTGTTGAAAATTTTTTCTTTCTGTTAAACTGAAACTGGAGGAAAAAATAAGAAAGGCGGCTAATAATTTTGACTTCAACTGTATAGACCTCTATCATTCGTTCTATATTGTTTATTCTATCATTCTATCAATTGTTCTATCAATCATTTTGTTGATTCAGTCTTTCAATTGTTCTATAATTTGAATGATTGTTCATTCAGTCATTTGTTTGTTTGTTCAGTCTGTCATTTGTTCTAAAGTTCTATCAATCACTCATTTGTTGATTCAGTAGTGTTGGGGTACTCGAACTTGGACTCGTACTCGAGTCCAGTTTTGATTGAACTTGGACTTGTCACAGACTTGAGTAAACTTGCTCTCGGACTTGACTCGGACTTGGATATTTTGGACTCGGAAAATATCACGAGTTCATTGGAGTCCACATCATTCACAACACAAATAAAGAGATTAAAAATTAGTAAATAACAGCATGAAACTATAACAAGAATTTAGCAAACTCTCTGGCTGCCAGCATTTATTTCCGCCACCGCACTGCACCGGCAGGCAGCAGTAGCACGTCTTTACCTTAAATGTGTAACGTTAACCATGAATAGCCATATCACACAATGCGTGGCTAAGTCTAGGACAATAATGTCTTCAAAATCATAATTTGTCTTATTTTCTTCAATTTTATATTCATTCACTGGGGCTGATAACAGAGTTCTCTGGAATTAATGTTAATAAAAATGCTTTGTTGCCTTAGTAATTTAAGCGTAATTTAAACAGAAGAAATGTGAGAAAGTGGCATGAGAATAATGTCAAACGTGTGAAAAGTTCTACATGTATTCTCCTATTTTCATTTTAATTTGAAGCAAGCTAACAAAAAAATACAAGGAATTTTGTAAAAATGTATCAAAAGTTTAAAATATTAATTTAACAGTTTAATTGTTAATTGAAAATTTTATTTGATTTATAATTATCATCATCAAAAATTAAACATTTTTTAACTTGGGTGGCACCATGGCTCAGTACTTAGCACTGTTGCCTCACAGCAAAAAGGTCATTGGTTTAAGTTCCGACTGGGCCGGAGTGTTTCTGTGTGGAGTTTGCATGTTCTCCCTGTGTTGGCTCAGGTTTTCTCCGGGTGCTCCGGTTTCCCCTATAGTCCAAACACATGCACTATAGGGGAATTGAATTTACTTGGGTTGCGGCTGGAAGGGCATCCACTGCGTAAAACATATGTTGGACTAGTTGGCAGTTCTTTCCGCTATGGTGAACCCTGATAAATAAGGGACTAAGCCAAAATAAATTTAATGAATTAGTTTTATGACTGTCTGGACTCAAAAGGTGGTCTTGACCCCAACTCTATGATTCAGTCTTTCATATGTTCTATAGTTCTATTGATCATTCGTTTGTTGATTCAGTCTTTCATTTGTTCTACAATTCTATTGATTGTTCATTCAGTCATTTGTTTGTTCGTTCAGTCTATCATGTGTTCTATAGTTCAATGGATAATTCATTCATGTGTTCTATAATTCTATCGATTGTTCGTTCAGTCATTTGTTCATTCATTCAGTCCATCATTTGCTCTATAAATCCATCCGCCTATCCGTTCATTCGTCCATTCATTCATTTATTCATTCTATCAATTGTTCAACAGTTTATTCGTTCCATCAATCTATCAACAGTTCATCCGTTCTATCGATCGTTAAACAGTTAATCTGTTCTATCGATCAATCAAAAGTTCATTTCTTCATTTAGTCTATCTTTTTTCTATAGTTCTATCCATCAAATATTCATTTTATCATTCGTTCTATTTATCATTTGTTCTATCCATCGTTAGTTCTATCTTTTTCTAATATTTTTTTAATGTTTGTGCTATAATTTGTTCTGTTATTCATTATATCAATCTGTCATTATTTCTATTGCAGTTCTATTGTTCATTTTCTTGTTATTTAATGACATCTATAAATGTATATAATTTGTTCGTTCTATCATTGTTGGTTTATTGTTGGTTCTAAACAACAATAGATATCTTTTATATCTATCTATCAATCAATCATTTGATCAGTCTGTCTATCGCTTGTTTGTTCGTTTGTTCAGTCTGTCTATTGTCCGTTTGTTTGTTCTTTCTATTGATCATTCGTTCATTCTGTCCGTTCGTTTGTTCAGTCCATCTGTCATTTGTTCAGTCTGTCATTCCTTCCTTCTATTTACCATTCATTCTATCTATTTATAATTCTTTCTATCAATCATTAGTTCTATGTATTTAAAATTTGTCCTATCTATTGTTAGTTCTAACATTAGTTTTATATATATCCTATTTATTATTTGATCTAGTTATCATATATGTATATCGTTCTATACATATCATTCTATATCATATATGCACCGTTCTATGCATTGTTAGTTGTAGCTATTATTAGTTCTATCATTCATATTATCTATATGTCTATTTATTATTTGTTCTGTCTGTCTGGTAATGTAGTGAAAAGGTTAGCGAAAAAGTATTACATTCTCAAAGTCAGATGTGAGTTTTCAATAGTCATTAGCATTTGAAATAGCCAAAGGATATTAGACAAGATCAAGTCTTGCAGAATCTTTTGTTACAACATCATTTGTGCAAAAATACAATGTGTTCTCGCTGTGTGTGCCATTTTAGATCCTTCCTGAGGATATTTTGAAGAACCTCACCGAGGAGCTTCCTCAGCCCAGAGAGATTCCTCGTAAACTCAGTGAATACACACAGGAGGAGCGGGACGCTTTCCCCAGGCTCTGGACTCCGTGAGTTTGGCTCACAACCTTTTTTATCCATTGTTTCCGCTGTGTGTTTCTGTGGAGTGTGAATCAGTGTTAGATTTCGAGCATATCTGAGGTGTCGTCCATTGCTGATGATCTCCTGAGGCGAGAAAGAGAGAGGCTGGCAGCGAGCTCATAAAAAAAACTGATGTTTAATAATCCATCTGTGAAGCTGCACTTTTCAGGATGGCTGCTCTGCTGCTCCCCACAGCGCAGACATCCAATCAGATTTATGAGTGCTGAGTCGCAGCCAATCGCACGCCGCCTGTGAGGTCACAGTGGGGAAACTTTCGGTTGCACACTAATATTTCACAACTGCTTGACTAATAATAAAATAGACTGGCAGGATGTTTCTTTAGGCTAGTTTTTTGTCAATTTCATTTTATACATATACATTTTTGTATATCGTTCTCTAAATAAGTGAGGTTAAAGTGTCTCATTAATGGGACTAATTTTAATAGTCATTGTCTATTATGAATTAACATTACTAAAATGTTGGGGTGAGTTCAAACAAAAATTAAAATTCTGCCGTCATACCTTCATGTAGTTCCAAACCAATATGATATCCATTCATCTTTGGAACACGCGTTAATATATTCTTAATAAAATCTTAGTTATATCTGTGCCTTCTTTGAAATTCTATTGACCCAACTCTGCTGCTTCAAAATTATTGAGCTGTTTATTTCAGATGTTCTGAGGGACATGATCGTTTTATAGGATTTTTTTTTCTTTATATCATGTAAACATACTTGAGCTTCCAGTAACAACCTTGAATCTTGTAAATGTTAACTATTTATCAAAGTTGCCTATATATATTTATATATTTAACATTTTTTAATGGTCAGTTTAAACAAAATGGCATTAATGTAGTAGTCTAAATCAACTTTTAATTATTAGTTTGATGTATTGCAGTTTTACTATAATGCAGCATTTATACTGCATGGCTCAAGTGGCTCAATTCCGATTTTGTTATTTTTATTTTTTTCTCCCATGTGGCATAGATCGTATATGGCCCATGTATGTGTAAACAGGAAAAAAATCACATGGATTCCGATTTACTCAAATCAGATTCAGGCCCTGTTCATGTGTGGAAATTTATCTGATATGAATCAGATCTGTGTCTGGAGTGTAAGATTTTCGGATTTTCATCCGTCAATGTGAGTCGCGCATCATTAAAAACCATAGAAAATGACGTCAAATCTGACGCTTTCATTTCAGAACAGACTTCAGTAGAGTCCTAAACCTTACATCTCATACACGAGGACTACAAAAGCTAAAAATAAAAAAAAGGAAAACATGAATCATGCCATGGACATTACGATTAAGATTCCTACTGGTTTAAAAGGGCCTAGATTAAAACATGATGGCAAAATGAGAACTTTTCTGTCATAAACTATAGTAAAAACTAAGCCCTGTGAACACGTTATTATCAGCTGTCAGTCAGCGCCCTCTCTCTTTTTTTTTTTTTTTTTCCCGTGTCATTGTGCATTTGCCGATGCTGTGTATATGCAGACAATCTGATACAAGTCACTTTGATGTAAGCTGGTCAACCAAAAAATCGGTGTGTATTATTTAACTTCATTATGGATGTACATAGTCCAAAAAAACACACAAAAAAAAAAAACACAAACCAAACCTAAAACGCATAATTCCACAAAATGAGTAACATATTTACGTACAAGTTATGATGCATATCTACATAAATATTATGGTTGGTCGTATTAATCGTGATTAATAGCATTCAAAATAAAAGTTCATATTTAAAAAATATATTTGTGGTTTACTGTATATTGATATACACATTAATATATATTTATATACAAAGTACTATTTTGTATATAATATGTATTTACATTATATAAATGTGTATATAGTACAAAGTGTACGTAAATATATATATATATATATATATATATATATATATATATATATATATATATATATATATATATATATATATATATATATATTTAATATGTAAATGTATTTGTATTTTATGTACAGTGTTTTTTAATTATCCATAGATACATACAAAATGCACAGTAAACACGTAATTATTATGGAATTACAAACTTTATTTTGGATGTGATTAGTTGTTTGACAACACTAATTAAACTATTTTAATTGAGCAATTTGCTTTTAAGATTAAGCTTACATTTCCCCTTACATAAACCAAAAATATATGTAATATTGATTCATCCATTCATTTTCTTTTTGGATTAGTCCCTTTATTTATCAGGGGTCGTCACAGTGAAATGAATCGCCAACTTATCCAGCATATGTTTTATGCAGCGAATGCCTTCCAGCGGCAACGCAACACTGGGAAACATCCTTACACACTCATTCATAAACGTACACTACGGACAATCTAGTATATTCAATTCATCTATAGCGCATGTCTTTGAGCTGTAGGGGAAACAGAAGCATCAGAAGGAAACCCACGCCAACATGGGAAGCACATGCAAACTCCACATGAAAAGGCCAACTGATCCAGCCGGGGCTCGAACCTTTTTGCTGTGAGGTGATCGTGCTACCCACTATGCCACTATGTGTGTGTGTGTGTGTGTGTGTGTGTGTGCGCGTGCGCGCGTACGTGTGTGTGCGCGTGTATATATAATAATAATAATAATAATAATAATACAATTATTTCAGAGGTCAAGTGCTTTGCGATGACACATACTGGATGCCACCTGAGATATATTTCTGCCTTGTTTGGCAGCATCCATGAGATCCTCCAAGTTGTTTTATATCACTTGAGATTGTCGCTGCTGCTGTACTGCTGTTTAACACCTCATAAACCCTTTACATCTGTGCAGATTGTCCCTCAACTATAGTCAATAAACTTTCCTATCCTGAGTGTTTCATTGGCACAGCTCATCTTCCCTAGTGCACATTACTCCTTGACTATAAATGCAAAAGTTTTGCCAGAATTTATCAGCACAAGAAAAAGTAGAGTTCACAGCATCCTTATTTCTTATTCTATAAACCCCGAGTTTGCATTTGTTTCTGAAACATCGTATGACCGATTTTTCTTTTTGTGACCTTTGTTTAACCTCTATGTGCATGGTGCAGTTGACTGATGATATTATAATCTTTATCATGTAACCATGGTCAGATGAATCCCAGAGTATGAAATGAAATAGCCGCTGTTGAAGATATTGAGATTTGGAAAGTGCCATCTCACTGTGGGAGGTATAAAAAGATGATAAGAGTCTGAATCAAACAGTAAAGGTGTGTTGTGGCCCGCGGCTGCTGTGAGGAGCTTTCAACTCTCGCTTCAGCTCAGGAGATTTAGACTGATATTCTCCAGGTTTGGTATTACTTCTGTGTTAAATCACTGAACGCTGAAAGGCAAGTGACGGTACACTCTTTCACTGTCAGATTTAAAGCTGAGCAGTGTTGCAGAATATCCGAGACTGTTTGGTGGGGCAAAACATGTATAGTGGAAATGTATATTGTGGTTTTGCTTTCTAAAGCCCCTGATGGACTCGCAGCTAAATTCTTGTTTTGTTGATTTAAAATAAATAAATAAATAAATAAATAAATAAATAAATAAATAAATAAATAAATAAATAAGTAAAATATGCTGAAGAAATAAACTGCTGGAAATCCTGACACTGCAGAACTCCTGAGGATGATGTTTAGATATGCAAATGTTACATTTTATAAATTTGCAGAAAAATTTTATATACTAATTTTACAACAGTTCATTCTAGTTGTCCAATCTTATTGACTGTGAATGTCATTTATCTCTCATGGAGGAGGACTAATCTGCTGTTGCTGTTAGACATTCAATAATACAATATAACGTTATAATCAATAGACTTGATTTTGTTGTCATGGATACTTTAAACATCTGTAGAATTCAAACAAATATCCAATAAAGCAATTTACAAACTTTATTTGGGCACACGGTGGTACAGTGGGTAGCACAATAGCCTCACAGCAAGAAGGTCGCTGGTTCGAGCCCCAGAAAGGTCAGTTGGCATTTCTGTGTGGAGTTTGCATGTTCTCCCCGTGTTCGCATGGGTTTCCTCTGGGTGCTCCCTTTTCCCCCACAAGTCCTAAAACATGTGGTATAGGTGAATTGGATAGGCTAAGTTGTCCTTACTGTATGTGTGTGAATGTGTGTATGGGTGTTTCCTAGTGATGGTTTGCAGCTGGAAGGGCATCCGCTGCTTAAAATATATGCTTAATAAGTTGGCAGTTCATTCCACAGTGGCCACCCCTGATTAATAAAGGGACTAAGATGAAAAGAAAAATCAATTAATAATGACAAACTTTATTCATTATTTAAACAAACCAACAAAAAGTAACTTTTTTTGCAGGCTAGGTCAATATTGTGATAAAAATAACCTTTATTTAACCAGGTAAGTCAATTGAGAACCAGTTCTTATTTACAATGACAGCCTGGCCAGGAGGCAACATAAAAAGCAGAGACAGTACAAAGCAGCAGGGACACAATACAATAATAATTTTACAGATGCAGATAATCATATTTAAAACCAAGGAAAAACTAAAAACAAGCACTGTAATCTTGTACTATTGACTGGATTGAGCTTTTAAAACATGATAGTGGAATAAAAGTGCTGAGCTTTAAGGTCTGCTGCAGATGATTCAAAGCATCAGCAGCAGAAAACTGAAAAAAGTAGGGACCAAAATAAAGTGCGAGCTTTGGGTATGCAAAGGTTGATAAAACTACTAGAGCGCAGATTTCGACGTGTTTCCTTAATGTTAAGAAGTGAATGTTATTATAGAGGAGTTTTTTTCAATAAAAGTTTTGTAAATGAACAGAAACTTTTTAATTTATTGACGTGATTGAAGAGAAGGCCAATTCAGTAAAGAATACAGTTGACAGTGATGAGTGTTAAATGGCGCACCAGTAACAAAACCAATTGCTGCATGGTAAATAACATCCAATTTGTGAAGAAGAGTTACCAAATATTGTGATAGATTTTCATCAATTAATCACAAGACAATCTTAT